CAACTTTCATCCTCTTAGAAAACGTGTCTTCAATACCTGTCGGCTATAAAAGGGTTCAAAGACAAAAAAATAATAAAATAACACAATTACAATTACACAATAGCCCTCGTGCTTAAGAATTCATGTCTTTCCAAAGAAGAGCCACACTGATGCCTTGGATGATGGTGATTGGCTTTGGGTAACACTTATTAGCTAAAGTTTTTTCAGAATGAGATATGCACCCCCATGTTACAAATCCATTTCTTGCTTTAAACAAAGACCATGTTCATAAATAACTTCAATTGCAGAATTCAAACAAAATTTTCAATTTAAATGGTAAATGGCCTGTATTTGTAAAGCGCTTTACTAGTCCCCTAAGGACTCCAAAGCGCTTTACACATCCAGTCATTCACAGACATGGGTGGATGACTGAATCGTGGCTCAAGAGTTGACAGTTCGCCTTATAATCGGAAGGTTGCCGGTTCGAGCCCGGGCTCTGACAGTTTCAGTCGTTGTGTCCTTGGGCAAGACACTTCACCTGTTGCCTACTGGTGGTGGTAGGCAGCTTCGCTCTGTCAGTGCACCCCAGGGTGGCTGTGGCTGCAATGTAGCTGCCATCACCAGTGTGTGTGAATTTAAATCTACTTATGCTAAATATTGGCTGTGCTCTAAACCAAATCTGGCTGAGAATACATGAAATGTGCAAACTGCAGCTACACTACAGGATCAGATTATGGCTCCATAGACAATGCTCCTTTAATCAGTTTATTGATTAAAGTTTATTTTTCCCTAGTTAGCCCTCCTATGCCACTCTTGATTTTGTACAGCTCCATGAACCTCTCCATAATGGTCAAGCACAGCAAAAAGGAACCCTTTCAGGTCAACAGATGTAAGACGGGCAAATTCTGCTTCAACCTGAGCAATAGAAGAAGAGGGGTGGAGAGTACAGGCAGAAAAGATTCTTTGAGACCCAAATTTAAACAAACCGTCATCTGAGGCCCATTAGAGAAAACACAAACACACGCAAACAAACAAAAATATGCACTTTACCCACCATTCAGCGAAAAAGGAAGTTCAGAGAACAATAAGCTCTGTCTTGAAATCTTTTAAAGTAGAATGATTGTGAAAATGACTTATGTGATGTAAAACTTTAGTAAACATGCAATTAAAAGAACACTGAGTAAAAGGACAACAATTTCCTTATTCCTCAGATGTTTACCTTGATGAGCAATACTGCTTTAGTCCAACTGCCTCATTAAAGTTACACAACAGGCTTTTTACATTAAAGCCAGCAAGTCCATTACATACTCCCTTTTTATATCTGAAATACTGTGCACATTCTGTGTATATGTAGTGGACAGCAATTTACCCAAAAGAGTGCAAGTTTGCAAGTCCACCTCATTTAAATGACAAAGTCAGATGTGATCATCTAGACCTGTGAAAACAAATTAATGACAAACCTGCAGTTATGGATGTTATTACAACCACAAGAACCTAAACAGTCTGCTCCATTGCTTTTGTTAATGAATCATGTGTTGGTAGCACGTCTGAATATTTAGTTTATGCCACCTGCATGCGATCATCAATAGTGCAATATTACTTCTTAAGAAGTACCCTGACACTACAATCTTTATATCATTTGTTCTACAGAGCTATTAAGTTACAATATAATCTGTGGTGGGGGGGGGGGGGGGGGGGGGGGGGGGGGGGGGGGGTGTGGTGGTTTCCAATATGACAAAATGCACAAATTGTAACTTACCATTTGACTCCACTGACAAAAATAAATCCCCAGCATCAAGTTTGGCTTCACAGACCTAAAATAAGTAAAATAAAAATATATGTTATAATTATTTTGTTTTCGCCATTTATTCATGTTTGCTAATTTTCTGACATATAAACAATGTTAGTTTTGTTACAATACAGGGAATGCAGTTTAATTAAAAGGTAAATTATGCAAAAAAAAAAAAAAAAACTTCTGCAGTATACCATGCCAAAAATCAGTGTCTCTTATGCCAATTATTTTATCACTACAGCTCTTTTAGTATGGAAACTCACACAATCTAGTCATACTGATCACAAGAGTTCAAAAATAAGTTAAAATAGTGAGCTGTTGTTAAGCATAAAGCATTTCAGGGTAACAAATAACTGCACAATATAATTAAAGCAAAAAATAAACACACTGGAGGACTATCTGATAAAAACTAATATAATGCTGGTTTGTAGACCATATTTTGTCTCAATCCTCAGTGCACTCTTGCAGCTTAGCATGCAGCAGTTAATAACAACTTAAGTGATTACATAGGGGTAAACAGATGACAACAAGCATAGCAGTCCTGCCAAAAAGTTCTTTTTGAACCCAGTCAGTTATTGGAAATATTGCCAAAATGAACTTCCACCAAAATACAACAGCCTGTGAACTTGAAAGAAATTTACAAGTACAGAGACAATATGAAATAAGCTTTATTAATTAGCTGAGTTAGCTTGCTAATATCGCAACAGTGGTTGAGTGCACAACCTTAAAGCTAGCGGCACAATACTTGTGATTTGGTCAGTGCCACATTAAACCCATAAAAAAGGCCATATGTCAGTTTATTAGGTCAAATTTGGTCATGACACACAAGCTGGACCTTGTCGGCTAAAGTTACATTAGCTAAAGCAAACATTTTGGTAAAAGAGAAAACCCACGCCATAAATTCAAAACATGTTCTGTAGAATGACCACTCGGTAGCTGTCTTGTGACGCTCTTTATTGAACGTGCATCCAGCATGGGTTATAACAGCACAACAACGGGTGTGGCAGCTAAGTGAAGAACTGGACATAGACAGCCCTGCCGCAAAGCATGTCATAGTGGCGTAAAGCCGCAACGCCCACCCGCTCGACACAGGCAACCCAGTATATGACATCTCCCCCCCTTTTCATGTTATTTCCAATAACAAACCTCAAATAGAACAGCAACGACACAATGATAACATGTGACACTATAATAGCCTCTGGGCGGTTCTCTTAAGGACCGGGCACAAATGGCTTACTGTCGGCCTGAAGGGCAGTGTCCACAAAACAGGACTTATTAAACATGGTAAACCTTTAAGGTAATTAACTCAACCAGGTAACAGCAGTATTGGTTGCAGCTCAAAACATAAGTGCAAAACAGCAACAATACAACATTCCCACTCCCCAGTCCTTCCTTCTGTCCCATCACCCCAATGTCTATAGATCCAGCCTGCTGACTGGCTTGCGTACCCGGCCGCACCTCGTGCGTAGCAGAGTCGGTACGTCAGCGTGAGTGGGTGCGAGCGTTGGGGCAAGACTAGGGGCCAAATGTGGGGTCTCTGGAGTGGACGCACCAGCGCACTGAGGTGGCGGCTCCTCAGCGTCCACAGTGGGTGTTGGAAGGGGTTGTGGCATAGCCCGTGGAGATGGTTCGAGGCGGAGATGGCGGCGGTTCCGTCGCAGCATCGCACCTTGGGGTGTGGCAACGAGATAGGACCTCGGAGTGACGCTCTCCTTGGAGATGATGGCCGGTGTTGCCCAAGCCTTCTCCTGGTCCAGCTTAGTTAGGACAGCATCCCCTGGATGGAGTGGAGGTAGGGGCTTAGTACCATGGCGGCGGTCGTAGTAGAACGCCTGCTTGGCCTTCTGACCAGCATCCCTTCGTTTAACCTCTCTTTTGTTTGGCCATTTAGGTTGAAGATTCTTCTCCAAGGTAGGCAGGGTTGTCCTGATCTTCCTCCCCATAATAAGTTCCGCTGGGCTGAAGCCTGTAGTGGTACAGGGAGTAGACCTAAAGCACATTAGTGCTATCAGTGGGTCATCTGTGCCGGAGGATTTTCTTTGCAGTCTGTACTGCCCTCTCCGCGTGACCATTTCCCTGTGGGTGGTGGGGACTAGACGTTATGTGGGCGAAATCCATCTCTCTCGCGAAGGCCTGGAACTCAGAGCTGGAGAACTGAGGGCCATTGTCACTCACCACCTCGTCAGGGATCCCAAACCTAGCAAAGGTCGACTTCAGTTTCTGAACAACTTGGCCACTGGTCGTGGATGGTAGGTGCAGTATTTCCAGAAAACGTGAGTAGTAGTCCGACACAACAAGGTAATTATTCCGGTTGTGTTCACAGAGATCCAGGGCTATCCTTTGCCATGGACGATCTGGCAAAGGTGTGGAGATGAGCGGCTCCCTTGTCTGTGTTGGCCTCTGTGCCAGACATGTGTGGCACTGCAGCACTGCATTCTTTAGCTCAGTGGAGAGCCCCGGCCACCACACAGATGAATTAGCCCTATCCCTGCACTTGGTGAGGCCTTGGTGCCCTTCATGTAGTTTGTGTAGAATGGCTGTTCTCTGTGACTTTGGAATGACAATTCTGCAGCCTCGTATAACCAGGCCGTCAGCCTCTGATAGCTCGTTTTTCACTTTCATGTACGCTTTAATGTTCAATGGCACACTAGCTCCGTATGCAGGCCAACCCCTGCGTATGTACGTGATGACAGTCTGTAGTTCAACATCCGTTGCAGTGGCTGCTTTAATGCTTTCCATTCGGCTTGGGGATGCTGGAATGCCCTGTAACACGGTGGCTATGTAGCAGTCCACTTCACTGTGAGTGCTAGTGTCATCCTCAGCCCGAGTCTGTGGACTCCGTGACAACGTGTCGGCGATGACAAGCGTTTTGCCAGGGACATAGACGGCCTCCGGCTTGTACCTCATGAGCCTCATCAGGAGGCGTTGACACCTCAATGGAACATTGTCAAGGTCCCGGCTATTGACCAGGGGCACCAAAGGTCTATGGTCGGTCTCAAGCCTGAAGCGATCTAAGCCACATAGATACTTATCAAACTTCTCACAGGCCCAAACACTTGCCAAACACTCCTTTTCGATTTGTGCGTAGCGTGTTTCAGCCTCCGTGAGGCGTCTAGAGCAGTAGGCAACAGGTTTCCACTCTGCGCCATGAAGCTGAAGCAGCACAGCCCCAAGCCCGTAGCTACTGGCGTCGGCAGATACGGCTGTGAGTCTGTTGACGTCATAGAAGGCAAGAACAGGTGCTGATGTAAGCGCTCTCTTAATGTTCTCGAAGGCTGCCTGCTGTGGGTGACCCCAGGTCCAACTGTTTTTGCTTTTAAGCAACTCGTACAGTGGCTGGCATACTTGTGGCAAGAGCAGGAATATATCTGCCCAGGTAATTAACCATTCCTAGGATCCGTTTAAGCTCTTGCACATTTTCTGGTGACGGCAGCTGAAGAATGGCGTTCACTTTCTCAGGGTCTGGCCTGACCCCAGAATAGTCGATCAGGTGCCCTAGGAAGCGAAGCTGGCTCTGTCTGAAGGAGCACTTCTCTCGGTTGAGCTTCAATCCTGCTAGCTCAATGCGCTGCAGCACCTTCTCAAGTCGGGTGTCGTGTTGTTCCATGGTGGCCCCATAGACCAGGATGTCATCCATAAAGACCTCCACACCTTCGAGCCCCTCTAAGGTCTCCAACATCTTTCGCTGAAAGATCTCTGGTGCACTCGTTATCCCAAAGGGCAGCCTCTTAAAGCAATACCTGCCAAATGGCGTGATGAATGTCGTTAGTTTGCAACTCTCGTGATGCAATGGGATCTGCCAAAATCCACTGGCTGCATCCAGCGAGGAGAAGACCGTTGCCCCACTCAACCTGGACATGGTTTCCTCAGGGGTAGGCAAGATATAGCGCTCTCTTTTGACAGACTTATTCAGTTTTGTCAGATCGACGCAGATCCTGGCCTTTGCTGTGTTCTTCTTCAAGACAGGCACCATTGGGGCACACCATTCGGTAGGTTGGGTCACCCTCTCAATGACACCATGGTTCTCCATTCTTTGTAGTTCCTCCTTCACTTTCTGCAGCATGGGGAAAGGCACACGGCGTGCCGTATGCACCGCGTATGGCACAGCATCGTCCCTTAACTGAATTTTGACTGGCTCAGTTTTTAGTGTTCCGTGTTCACCGTAAAGTGGTTGGTTCCTGGTGGGTGTGATCGTTGCTTCATCAATTCTTCTCACCAGGTTCATCTGCACTGACAAGGAGCGGCTGAGAAGGTTGCTGACTCTGTGTCCACGAACCACATACACCTTGGACAGGTAGTCTTTGCCTTTATAACTTATTGTGGCCTTTAAGTAGCCGAGACATAACAGCTCTCCTCCGGGGCTATCTAGAGGGAGATTAGAAGGCTCTAGTGTTCTCTTATGAGCAAGTGTGTGGAACGTGTCTTCATTTATGATAGTGACATCTGCTCCTGTGTCAATCTTAAATTCTATTGGGGCAGAGTCTAGCAGTAACTGCACAGTCCATGCTTCACTATTTCCTTTTGCATTACACACTGAGCCTAGAAAATATGAGGCCTGCTCGCTTTTCTCTGTCTCTGTAACCTCATTCACTGATCTGGTGTTACGACACACCCTGGCCCAGTGTCCAATTTTTCGGCAGCCATGGCAAACAGATTTTGCTGCCGGGCACCTTTCATCCCTGGCATGCTGTGTCTTCCCACATTTACCGCATTTCTTGTCACGCCCCGCCCATTTTTTTTCCGCGGGTAGCCTGCCTCGCTGTTGTTGTGATTTCCAGTCCATGCTTTTCCGTTTATCCCGTACCTCCTGTACTGAGCCTCCCGCATCTCCCTGCAAGCTGACCTGCGCTGCGACCTCCTCTGACTGTCTGACGATCTGGGTCGTTTGCGCCAACGTGAGGTCCTTCATCAGCTGTAGCCTGCGGGAGAGGTCCTTGTCTCGTATCCCGACCACAATACGATCGCGGATATTTTCCTCTTTACATGCACCAAACTCACAGTGCTCTGAGAGGTCATACAGGGCTCGGATAAAACTCTCCGCCGTTTCGCCTGGCCGCTGGACTCGCTGGTGAAAACATGCTCTTTCATGTATAGTGTTCCGCTGCGGGAAAAAATACTCGTCGAACTTCCTCATTACGACGGCGAAGTCGTCACGACTTTCATCGGCGGCGAAGGTGAGTGACTTGTAAATGTTCTCTGCTTCATTTCCCATCGCGTAGATTAGGCAGCTCACCTGTACTTGTCCTTCGTCTTTGTGGAGTTTCGTTGCGATCCTGTAGCGCTCGAAACGCTGTTTCCAGTCGGGCCATTCCGTCGGCTTATCGAAGGGGAAGCTTGTCGGGGGATTAAACTTAGCCATTCTGTTGTTTTCTCCCTTATGGCGTTATTCCGGCGATGGTCCGGGTCACTTCTGACACCATGTAGAATGACCACTCGGTAGCTTTATTGAACGTGTATCCAGCATGGGTTATAACAGCACAACAACGGGTGTGGCAGCAAAGAGAAGAACTGGACATAGACAGCCCTGCCGCAAAGCATGTCTGTCAAGGTTTGCCGGGGCAAGCCGTGTGGAATATGAAATAGGACCCAAAATGCGGCAGCTCTGGTGCAGATGAGTGTTTATTTGACAACCGAAAATACAAACAGCAATGGTGTGGGTACCATGAAACAGGAAAACCTAAACTGGGTAGAACTAATAACACAAACCAGAAACGAGGATGCAGGGAGGTCCGGGGAAATACATACGGGAAGACGCAGGGAGACCGAGGGGAAACAACACAGACGAACCAGCGATTACTAAGACAGAAAATACAACTTAAATACACTCAGAACACAGGGAGATTACACACAGGTGGGAGACACAGCTGGGAGTGATTAACATGACGAGACCAGGGAGGCAAACTGAAAACACTCACATAAGACGCAGACCTTCACAATAAAACAGGAACACACGGGGGGGAACAGGGTAAACACCAATTAGAGAACAGAACCAAAATCGCGAAGAGAAAACACAAAACGCTGGGTCAAAAGGACCCAGGATCATGACAATGTCATAGTGGCGTAAAGTCGCAACGCCCACCCGCTCGACACAGGCAACCCAGTATATGACATGTTCCAACTTTTGTAGCTCTCCTTCCTCATAGTTATAACCAATGTTACTCACCTTGAAAGCATATTCCAAAGAAGACAATTAGAAAACGTCCAAGTAAAGTGAGCATGTCGTTAACCGCCAATTCCCCATGATGCACCGCGATAGCAGTCACGTGGGACAGTTTTGGTGTAATTGGGACGTTTTTAACTTGTAATTCTATGTTATAACAACAACTTCAGTCATCTATTGTCAAACTGATATAGAATAATATGTTGAAATAACAAACATCTAGAATTACATTTTACAGTGTAAGCTTTACATTTCCAGTTTATCAAATCCCACTGATCTGATAAAATCAGTCCTTATCTTTAAGCCTAAGCTCTGTTCTTCCTCTCCTGTCTTTCTTATCTTTCTCCATCTCTGAGTGAAGTTAGCTCTCTTTATTTTCTCTCTGTGAAATACAGCAGCTGGAGCTTTTGCTAGCAACACACTGTGCAACAAAATGCACACAAATAGTCTGTGTCTTTGCTGATGTTTGTTGAGCTGAACAATAGCTGCATGTGAAATTATCTTACCCTGAAAAAAATGTCATTCCCTTTGCGCTCGCTCTTCTTTTGCCACACTAGCTAGATGCTGAAGTACTGCGATTGAAACTTACAGACACTTGCAGTTGTTCTGGTGTTGGGTCATAAATAAAGAAAACACAACCCACTTAAACCCCTGACTATGGCACATGACTGTGCCTCTTTTTATTTATCTAAATACAACATCGTCTGGTGATTAATAAACGAATAGGATAGCCTTTTGTGTTTTGTGTGAAAAGTAAAAAAAAAAAAACTCAAGTAAAGTACAGATACCTTAAAATTCTACTCAAGTACAGTAATAGAGTATTTGTATTTCCCACCTCTAAATACATGTGTATGAATAAGAGGGAAACAGCTGTAACAGCAAAGCAAGCAAGGAACAGGGCACAAGACAAGTGAAGAGGAGAGCGCAGGCAAGGTGGAGTGGGTGAAGACAAGTGACAGGATAAAAGAGTGAAAGGGAACGTTTACAAGACGGTACTGAGATCTGCTCTAAGGTCTGGTTTGGAGATGGTGTTAGTAACAAAAAGACAGGAGGCAGAACTGGAGCTGGCAGAGTTGAAGATGTGTGACCAGAATGGACAGGATTAGAAAGTATATTGTTTGGACATGTACAGAGGAAGGATAGTGGATATACTGGACAAAGGTGGATGGATATGGAGCTGCCACGAAGGAGGAATACAGGAATAGCACAAAAGAGATTCCCGGATGTAATGAAGGAAGATATGCAAAGGGTTGGTGTGAAGAAGAAAGGTAAAATGGAACCAGATGATCAACAGTGGTGACCCTTAAAGGGAGCATCTGGGGGGAAAAGCAGCAGCCAGGTTTTCAGATAATGTATCACGTTTTTCCATTCTGTTTTGAAACTACAGCAAGCACTGCTATGAGTAAATTTAAGGCTTAATTGTTGTCTGCCAAGGATACACTTCGTCTCAAGAATCTTTGTGTGTCCGTCAGTGGTGATTTGGCAACAAGCAAACTTGGATGAGTGGAGCTGGTGGGGCGTGAGCAGGCAGGTGAGTTCTTTCCTTTACAGGTTTTGGAGTTTCCAAGCTGACTCGGCAAGTGTGGCTGAAGGTTTTCACACGTTGAGGGATTCAGGATTTCCAGAGAAACTAATTAACTCAAGCATGAGACAGGTAGCATCCTAGCAAAGAATTGAGGCAAACTCCAGCCCTGAAATACCCTGCACACGATGAGTTGATCTGGTACAGGGGTGCAATAGACAAACCAGATTGGAAACACTACCCGCAGGCAGAGCAAGCACCTGGTGCCAATCTCACCTCTCCGCCTGTGGCTAAATAACAGAGAAGTTAAACACAAATACTCAACATGACAATGATCATCTGTAAGTTGGAGAATCACAGTTATTTTTCATAATTTTCCATATTTTCTCTTGTTTGATTATTTTTGAGCTTTGACTTTTTTCTTCTTTTTTCTTCAGTTTTGGCCATTTCACCTGCACTTGAAATATGCTGTACATTCTTTTATTTTTCCATACTAAGAATTTTACTGCATGAAAATCTTTTTAATTGTAATTGAGGAGGGAGACCTGAAAAAACAACACGGGTCTAGTGAGTTGTTACACTACTCCCATAAACTAGTCAAAAAGATTGTCTTCACAAAGGTTCATTAAGGCTTGGATGGCTTTCAAACCTCCACCAATTCTACTATAATATTTGGACCAGCATTAGATTCAATTCAATTCAATTCAATTTTATTTATATAGCGCCAAATCACAACAAAAGTCGCCTCAAGGCGCTTCATAGATACAGAGAAAAACCCAACAATCATATGACCCCCTATGAGCAAGCACTTTGGCGACAGTGGGAAGGAAAAACTCCCTTTTAACAGGAAGAAACCTCCGGCAGAACCAGGCTCAGGGAGGGGCGGGGCCATCTGCTGTGACTGGTTGGGGTGAGAGAAGGAAGACAGGATAAAAGACATGCTGTGGAAGAGAGACAGAGGTTAATAACTATGAATAGATTTGCTTTTCCCGGCATGTCAGTTTTCTGAGTGATGATGCTAGGTCTGGAAAAGGTTAGTCAGAATTAACTTTGGTTCATTTTAGAATTAATCAAACTGAAATTTACATAAATAGTCTAAATTGTATCATCTGTCCAGAGCCCTCTTCTGCACAGACCCCTAGATCTTCTGAAGTCTGCGAGACAGTATTAAACAGTAAAATGTTTTACTCTATGTTCATCACAGTGAATTATCAGATTAATTTAAAAGACAGATAAAAATAGTATCTCCTTAAATACAATTTGTTCTAGATGCCTCAGAAGTAATTGGTCACCAGTGAGCATTTTATTCATTAAGAAATCATCAGACACTTCCAGTGGGACAGTAATACAGTCCTATATTTCTCCAGATCCAAAAGAAGATGTAACGGCAGACTCATGAAAGAGAAATGCAGAACATGGTGCCACCTTATTTACACCACATGAATGAATGTTCCAATTTAAATGCAAAGTCCTGAGGTGGAGGGAGGCTGTAGATCACACTGACATTTTGGGACATTTTACCTCAAGATTTATAAATAACATCCAATGTAATTACTCCTCTTCAAATGAGTTTTTAAAGCTTACTTGTCATGGCATATCCTTATAGTAGTGTTTTTATTGCCTAAAGTCTGTGTTATTCTTACTCTGTGTAATTACTTCTGTCCTCTGGCTCATCAAGAAAATCGATGACTGAGCAGGATGCTTTCTCAAGATTTCAGCTTTCTACAATGTACCTGTAAATATGGAGGGCCTCAGGTGCCAAAATAAATTCATTAAATACATCATTAAACAATTAATGTGTCATTATTCAATTAAAATGGGAAATAATTCATTATTCATATATACTCAGCCTCTGTCATGTTCTTGTCCATATTCTTGATATTTATTATAATCACCTTTGTAAATTCTTGATATTTATAATTGAGCAATTAGTCTGTTACTGCTACTGTCCTGGAGCAACTGTAACCCACATAATTTCCCTAGGGATTAAGAAAGTATTCTGATTCTGATTAATTAAACATATTTTAAAAAATAATTTAATTTCAATTCTTTTCATTTATAACATTTAATAAATTATTTATTTCTATTAATTAATGACACATTTTCTAAACAATGTAATGATGGATTTAATTAATTAATATTGGGACTCTTGGCACTGTTGCTGTGTTCATGAACTAATGTTATCTGTCAATCTCACCCATCAAAGTCAGCGGGCAGAGCTAACACTGTCGCTGCAGCCTCTGATTGGTTAGCGTGCAATTTGGGATTCTGTTCTACTATGCTGGGTCAGCAGAGTCTAATTGCCAAATACATTAATTTCACTATCACAATAAATCATATTAAATTTTTCCAAGTGACCTTGCCTTATTGAACTAAAACCACTGAATGAAGCACAAACTGCATTGGAATGAGCATGTATTAATTTGGTGATTTAGAAAATGTATAAATGTTTTTCTACTTGATCTGCTGTTGAGTCTCTTTTACACTGATGGAAATGCAGATACTTGGACATGTCAGCAAGAAAAATCATGTTCTAAATGCTTTGTTGTGCCAAGCACATTTGCTTTCCTAAGAGGAGCACTATGGACTCTAGGCTCCTCATGATAATCTGATTTTATTTATTTCATTATTCATATTATTATTTGTGTGGATGCTATGCTCGAGTGGACAGTGGGTTAAGCCCAGGATAGAGAAAGGAGAAGAAAGTGGAGGGATAGAAAGAGAATAGGGGCAGACTGAGGATGA